TCGATCTTCCGGTCCTCTCGATCGGCGGTGCTCCTGAACGGTGTGCCTGGGAAATGGTACACGGTGCGGCGGGCGCTGCGTCAGGGGGACCCGAGCTCGCCCTACCTCTTCCTCATCGTCGCCGACGTGCTGCAGCAGATGATCCGGCAAGATGGCAGGCTTTTTCACCCTCTTGTGGACGGAGAGACGCCCCTCGTGCTGCAATATGCAGACGATACGCTGGTTATTCTCAAGGTGGACACCGGAGCGGCTGCCCGTCTCCGATGGATCCTTGACGACTTCGCGGCCGCTACGGGGCTCGCCATCAACTTCTCCAAAAGCACGCTCGTCCACATGCATGTGCCGGCGGACGTGCTGGACATAACCGTCGGCGCCCTTGGTTGTGATGTCCAAGGATTCCCGCAGGCTTACCTCGGGCTCCCTCTCTCATGGAGAAACTCTGCTTTGCGGATTTCCTCCCCATGATCGCCAAAGTCGACAAGTACTTGTCGGGTTGGCGGGCGCGCCTTCACTCCCCTGCCGGGCGGCTCGTCCTCATCAATGTCGTCCTGGATGCTCTACCCACGTACGCTATGGCGGCTATGTTGCTCCCTCCGGCGGTGATCAAGGCCCTGGACTCACTGCGCCACGCCTTCATTTGGAACGCAGCTGAACGCGCCTCTGGCGCCCAATGCCTGGTGGCATGGGAGAGAGTCTGCCGATCCAAGGCGGAGGGCGGGTTAGGGGTTCACGACCTCGCGACGCAGAACCGTTGCTTGCTGATCAAGATGCTACATCGGCTTCATGCCTGCTCCGCATCGTCGCGGTGGGCGACGTGGGTCTGGGCCAAGCTCGCGGGGCGATCCCTCCTCTCCGGGTCAGCCGCCCGGGCGACCGGGGAGCACGGCAAGGCTCTCAGCGGTCTCCTCCCGCTCTACCGCGGCCTGACAACGGTGGAGGTCTGTGACGGGAAACGAACATCTTTCTGGTTCGATAACTGGCTCCCGTGTGGAGCTGTCGCGGCGGCCTTCCCCGCCCTCCTCTCGCACGCGACTGAACCGGAGGTCACGGTGTGGTGGGTGCGCTCCCACGGACTGGACAGTGCGCTCGTGCCCAGGCTCACCACAGCTGGTGCGGCGGAACAGGCCACCCTCCTGACGCTCATGGATGGGGTCGTTTCGACCCCAGGAAACGACGTGCGGAGCTCGGTGTTGTGCCCGGGACCCCGGGGAGGCATTGCGGCGGCTGCTGTCTACGCTCTGGAGAAGTTCGGTGGGGTGCATGCTGCTTTCGCCGAGTTCATTTGGGGGTGCGCTGCTCCCTCTCGCGTCCGTTTCTTCGGTTGGCTCCTTGTCCAGTGAAGGGTGCACAGGCGGGACGTCCTTCTTCGGAAAACCATCGTCGCTGCGGAGGAGGCGGCGTGCCCCATCTGCGGCGATGTGCTTGAGACGGCTGATCACATGATTTTTGCTTGTCCTTTCGCGCATTCGTTCTGGCGATTCATTGGGCTCGAGGTGGCCGGTCGAGGCTACAATGTGGGGCCTCTGCAGGACCTGGACGTCCGTGCCGTGGCCGGCGAAGCTGCTACCGCGTCCTTCGTCCTGTTGTGCTGCTTGCAGCTCTGGAAGCATAGAAATGTGGTGGTCTTCCGGGCCGAGCCGCGCTCCCTCACTCGTCTCCTCGGCTGCTGCAGGGAGGATGCGGCCCTGTGGAGGGGGCGCCTGAAGGTGGCTGACCGGCCGTGCATCGACAGGTGGTTGCTGGTGTTCGCGCCCTCCGGCTAGTCGACTTGTATGCCGCGGGGGAGGGCTCGAACTCCCCCCACCCTCTATGACACGGGCTGTGCGTCTAGGGGTGCCGTCCCTTCTCTTCCTCTTTCTGTAAAAACCTTGCTCCCCCCGGGGGTGTGATTTAAAAAAGGAAAAAGCTCCCCCGGTGACTTTCAAAAAAAAATATCCGTCGATTTTATATTAACCATAAAGATTGACGGCTGGGATTTAAAAGTTGACCTACCCAAAGTTTGGTCTAAGAACGGAGGTTTTTTTTAATTCTCAATCTCTCGTCTCTTTGGCCGAACCTCAAAACAACGCAACAAGAAACCCACGGTCGTGAAATCAACCAGCTCTACGTATATACACATTCTGGATGAATGGAATCGATCAAGGAGCTGTGGAAATTAATCGGCGCGAGCTAAGCGTGAGCCTCGGAGGTAGTACCAACCGTTGCAGCCTCATCGGCAAAAGTGCCCGCAGCCACAGCAGGGCGTTCCGCCGGAGACGAGCCCATGGCTAGGTGCCGCATGTTGAGTACTCGCCGCGGCATGTGTCTCCTGCGTAGGTTGTGCCATCGATAGTGCAGGCGCCCAGGAAACGCCACACGACGGTACTGGTGGCCTGGGCCGTAGCCGCAGGGCTCTGTCCGGCGGCGCTCATGGTGTTTGTCGTGACCAGCCGCAAGAGCTCGGACCTCGACTCATACAGCAACTGCACGCCTGCACCCAGGGCCGGCCTTGGGGAAAGGGGGAGCGGGGGCGGAGGGGCCGGCCGCCCCGGGACCCCGATCCAAGGGGCGTCCGCCTAGCTATGTACGAGTACCACAGAGCCCAGCCACCATTATAGGAGCCATTAGAACTTCATGTTTTGTATCTCAACGAGGAAGAAAACGATGTGTTTTTCCTTTAGCTGACTGGGCTGGGCCTTTTTTAGGCATCAATGCGAATTAAAGTAGTGGTGGGCCGGTTAGTGGGCCAGGGAGTGAACCTTTTTAGCAGGAATTAGCGATCTCATTTCGGACGATGGAATCTTTACAAAAAAAAAAAAACCTACTAATAAACCGGTTACTGCAAAAAAGCCCCTGTTGTTTATTGAATTCAACCCGCAGTCCTATATTAAGTGAGTTCCTAAGAAAACGTTTCGTTTTTGCAAAAGAGCCCCTACATTAGTTGGAATTCAGCCCGCATTCAGTCCTTATATTCCTTATCCATTCCCAGAGTCCACCGCCGGCCACTCGCCGCCGCTTGGTGCCGGCGTCCACGACGCCGCTCCGACGACCCCTCGCACCCGCCGTCGCCGGCAGACACCAGCAGGCCACTATTCTTTTTCCTCTCATCCTCCCCCTCGCGCCTGCGTCCCTCCATCGTCGGCGAGGACCACCTCCGGCCTCCCCTTCCTCTGCTCCGCCTCCTTAGCTCGCGCCCGAGTGCCGCTCCTGCAGCACCTCCGCCGTCCGCCTCTGTTTTCCGGTGCCCCGTCGTCGCGGGACCTCCCCTCGCACCGCGTGTTGCTGCTTCCCCTCGCCCAGTCCCGTGCGCCTCATGCCTCCGCGCGAGCGCGCCGCGCCCCGAGCTCCATCCTTCCCGCTTCGCCCGCGCCTCCTCCTTCCGTCGCTGTCCGCGACCTCCTCTGCTCGCGCATGACCATCTCGTTGGCCTCCCCTGCTCAAGCGGGCCAACCACCAGGGACGACGGGGCTCCTATGGCCGCCAGTGTCAGGAGAAAGAAGGGTGGCGGCGCTCCTGGCGACGAGCAGCAAGCGGAGGCGAGGAGGTGGCGGGGTTCTTGGTGGTCGCCGGCGTGGCGAGGGCCCGAGGAGTTGCCGGAGCGGGCATCGGGCGCGGTCGGAGCAGAGGAATGCAGGTCGTGCTCGAGCGCAAGTCCCGTGTCCAATTTGGATTGATTTTGGACCGTGTCCTTGTCGAACACAAGTCAATGGAGTGCTGAACCCGGATTGCTGTTTTTTGGTATGAGAAGGAAGGGTACTCAGCCGTAATCTCCATCGGATCAATTTTGGAGGAACATCTAATGTCGCCGCCGAGTTTGCCGGAGGTACAAGAACATTCGTCCAGCACTGCGATGTCGCCTGCGTCTTCTACATCAGAGGTATGTATCCCCTTGACCCCTGTTTCTCTGGAACAATCAGGCTACCATGGAAGTTCAGCTTAATCAGGCATCCTCAATCCTCCATGGAGGCAGTAATTAGTCAGGCATCTGATCTCGGTTAGTTTTACAACATCACAAAAAGAAGATATGAAAGTTCATGTTACACATCGAGATACATAGTACTAAGGTCAACTGACTATTATGTTGCCGGAGATGCTCGCCGGAGCACCTCCTACCTCTCTCTCGCTCTTGTTCTCTCACTCTGGACACAGACGAAAAAGAACATAGACAAGTGGTTTTTGTGCAGCCCAAGTTCTGCTGTTTTTCTGCTTATCCTTTTATTCGGCGATCTAAAGTGATGTTGTGATGCTCGCAACAACCCCATCGTGCCGGCGCCATCCCACAGGCGAAGTCGTGCAGCTGGCTTCCTACATATTCGCACGGAACACACAACGATCGTGCCCTTGTGCTCTAACAGAAAACTGAAACTGAAGAACTCTGAAACTACTGAACTTTCTGAAGAAAACTTACACCTATCGACTAGACTGCTCTGGCAGTACTTAAAGAGGGAATCTGAGCATAGCATTACTTCCTAGCAGGCCCCTATAAACAAAGGCGGAACCTCCTTGCCCGAGCCTGGTTTCCTCAGCGAAATTGTTGGCCGCACGCGCCAGCCTATGATAATCAATATGTTCAAGCCCCCTGGCGAGAGCTCTGCATCGCTTCTTCCTCATGCATAGCTGCCATCGATGGACGCCAACAAAGATGCACACAACTGCAATAACTCCAATAACATTATTTGGTGTGACTCGACGGCCAAGCCAGTGGCACCCGAGAAGCCGATGGCCACCACACTGGGCAAGAGCTGACTCAGGTCAACACTGGTGCTGACCTGGTAGGTCACGTCGCCAATCTCAAGAACGGCCGCTAGTATTTTCGTGTCGTTGCCGTAGCTGATATGGCAACTCATCGGGAAGCCAGACGTTAGGTTCCTGCCAGGCACGGTCGCGTTGGTGTACGCCTGCGAGACGATGGAATTGACATCGATGCCCATGTGGCTGCCACTGGTGACGGACGACCGTGCCATCGGTTTTGTTGAAGAGGCCGAGATTCCCGCCGCCGAAGTTGTTGTTATTGGAAATGCTCGTCGGAGGATAATGCCCGAGGAAGAATGCCATGCCATCGCCATTGCTTGCACTGATTACCTTGATTTGGAAGGTGAAGGATGTGGTGAAGCGGGCGAGCTCGCCGGTGACGGTGTCCCACAGCGGCATGGGCGTCGCGAGGAACGCTCGGCCTACGCTGTTCTGGATGCTTGGATCCACGCCGCTTCTTGTCAGCTGGATCATCTGAGACGGGGAGTCGTAGTATGCGTCGCCCTGGAAACTGAAGTCTTGGGCGTCGTGGCCGGGCTGGGAGAAGTTGGTGCTAAAAGAAAGCGATGTAGCACGAGGCAGGTGCAGAGATGACCATGTCGAGCAGCAGAGGAGGAGCACGAGGGTCTGTGTTCGGTGGGAGAAGCTCACAGCAGCCATTTGCTTTGGAAGGAAGCTCGTGAACAAGCATACCTATATATTGACTCGTCATCTCGACGAATATTTGGCGATGCAAACCAACAGCCAGCTGCCCGGGGCATCGGACTCGGACCTCAGCGTCATGCCGTGCGCAAATCCTGTGTACATGTGGCAATGACGACCTCTGGTAGTGTCCGTTAAGCAGAAAGATATAAGCCAAACGACAACGCCGCAACCCCTTTCTGCGCTATCTCCTAGGTGGGAAAATAAGGTACTACGTGCTGTCTGGCCAAGTCTGAAGCATATGTTATTCTGACGATCAAGTATCGTCAGCATGCTAGCTACTTTTGAGATCGTCACCGGCACCAAGGGAGTGATGTCCAATGTCAGCTCCTCCGGTCGTACGGCATCCATGGTGTGGGTGATGGATGGCCGGCTGCTCGGGTCCTGGTGCACGCACAAGAGCCTGACAAGTAGCACACGCTCCATCTGTTGTCGCCCGGTACTAGACTCGCCGCCTATCAGCCTGTCGTCTGCGGCCTCAAGGATCGTGTTGTTGTAGTACAAACTTCTTACCCATGACGACAATGGAGGCGTATCATGGAGGCGCGTTGTTGGGTCCTTTCCAGAGACCATCTCTAGTAGGACAATGCCGAAGTTGTAGATGTCTGACTCCTGTTCCGTTGGCTCGTGTCCACGAACACAGGGTCAATATATCCGTAAGTGCCTTGCACGACATCAGTGATCCCTTACCCAGTTTCGTGGTGAACAAATCTTGCCAATCCGAAGTCACCTAACTTGGCATTGTGTGAAGACCCAAGAAGCACGTTGCTGGACTTGATATCACCGTGTACGATACATTGTTGGCCTTGCTCGCAATCTACATGGAGGTATTGCAACGCAGAGCCTATAGGTCGAGGATGACCTCATACCTGTTTGTCAAAGCATATACATCCATTATGTATCAAGAAAAAACAAAGTTGCGCACAACGATGTAAATGCTCTCAAGATGCAATTATAATGTGGGACGAGACTTGTCTGCTCCCCCGTCGTGTGCCCATCCGTGCTCCCGTCTACGTGGCTTGATTTGATTGGAACAAAATAAGGCCCGGCATCACCCCTTTAAAATCAGGGGGGTGAGAAAAAAAGAAAAAAAAACAATCGTAGAATTAAGTGGTAGCACGGATGGGAGCACGGGGAGGGAGCAGGCAAGCCGGATCCTATAATGTGTACCTCTTGGACCATGCTAACCAACTGTTTCCCCTGTGTAGGTGTTGATCAAGGCTACCTTGTGGCAAAAGCTCATACACAAGGAGGAGGCGTGTGTACCTCTCGTCCCGCCATCAACATATAAATTCAATCAGGTTCCTCTGGCCGTCATAGCCAGGGGCGGAGTCAGGCTAGCCCTAGGCCCCGGGCCTGCTTTGGAGCTACAGTAATCTACAGTGCGAAACAATGCAGAAAATGCTACACTGAACAAAGACTTTCTGTGCCACGACTAGGGCCCAGGCCCCCCAGGCCTGAGGTGTAGCTCCGCCACTGGTCGTAGCACCAGCCTATCAATTCGACAAGGTTCCGGTACCTCAACCGATTGGCAATCCTGAGTTCGTCCTCGAACGCCTTCCTCTCCTCGCCCGATTCTGCCAGCTTGAATCTCTTTATCGCCACCGGTCTACTTGGACTTGCCAGTTGGCCCCGATAAACAGAGGCTGAGCCTTTTTCCCCAAGCTTGTTTTCCTCTGCAAATTTGTTGGACGCACGCGCCAACTTATGATAACCAATAAAGAGTAAAATGCATCACAAGTCCTAAAATTATCATAGGTGTGTCAGTTTAGTCCTATAACTTTCAAACTGCACTTTTGGGTTCTAAAACTATCGAAAGTATGTCAGTTTAGTCCTATAACTTCGAAATTGCACTTTTGGGTCCTAAAACTATTGGAGGTATGTCATTTTTAGTCCCATAACTTCAAAATTGCAGTTTTGGGTCTCAAAACTATGTATGTTTGTTCATCTGAGGTCCTAATCTTGCATGGCCACCATCCATGGTGCATTTTTTCAAATGAGCCCTTTGTATGTGTTTATATCCCCCAAAGTGGTACATACGCTTCCACGTTGCAGTGTGTCCTGCAACCTGCATGCCCACCACCTGCATGGCCATGAGCTGCATGGTAGCCTCCCGGAGAGGTTTGGCGTGACCGTCGGGGAGACCCCGAGCTAGTCGGCATGAAGGACGACATCCCTCTCCCTCGGCGAGGCCGCCGGGGAGATCCCGAGCCAATTGGGATGGAGTACG